TATATATATATATATATATATATATTATACAGTACCCTAATTTCTACCATTGCCAAATAATCTCCATCAATTTCAAAAATTCTCTTCATCTTTCGACTGCAAATAGGCTATTTTATTTCTCTCTAATTCTTCGCAATTGCAATTTGAGGTTCCATATAAAATTTTTTCAATTTTTTTTCAAATATATTAGTTATCTTATTCATTTATGTGATATAATAGAAATTTGACGTACATGCATCATACTTGTATCTTAGAAATATTAATGGTATTGTTTTATAACTATGATCGAAAAGATCCTGCGTGGAAGTATGCAAAAGAAATAGAGGGGAAAAAAAATACTTGAGATGCACATTTTGTGATCAAAGGTGCAATTGAGAAATTTATAGACTTAAGCATCATTTGGGGACTTATCATGGTATGCAACTATGTAAGAAAGTTCCTGAGCATGTGAAAAAAGAGTGTACCGCAACTTTGAAAAAAATTCAGCTTGAGGAAAGAAAGAAAAATGAAATGCTTAGAGAGATTGGGGATGGTCCACGAGGAGGGGCTCAAAGTATGGAAACTTCATTGGATAAAGAATATGAAATCCCCAGTACTAGAAATGTTGCAGTTGATGAGGCTCTTAGAGCACAACCTAAATCAAAAGGACCAATGGATAGATTTGTCACTTAGAAGCTCGACAAAGTACATTAAATTCAGCATACAAATAAGAAAAAAGAAAGAAAGTTTGTTGAAAGATTGGTTGTTTTTTCTTCTCTAGAGCACTCCCATTTAATATTGTAAATGATCCATTTTGGTTACCTATGGTGGAAGGGATTGCTGCATATGGTGTAGGATTTAAGCCTACATCAATGCATGAGCTGAGGACTTGGATCCTTAAGGAAGAAGTTTGATGCATCACGTAGGAAAATATTGTTAGACAGCAACACTGAAGTTAGACTCGCCTACATGAAAGAGAAAGTGTCAGTGGATCTTGATTTTTTTTTGGTTGTAAGTTTAGTGTAGATTAGGAGAATATGCTTGCTAACTTGTTTTGAGACACTCTACTTCACTTTTGAATTATGTTGCCTCTGGAGACGTCCTCATATTCGACAGCACATACAAAACCAATATGTATGACAAGCCTCTAGTATTATTTGTTGGTTCAAACAACCACCGAGAGAGTGTTGGTTGTGCCATATTGGTTGACGAGACCTTTGGAATATAAAAGTAGTTATTAGAGACATTCATATCCTCCATGAAAGACAAGAAGCCTACATCAATACTGACGGATGGGGATAAGGCGATTAGCATAAATCAATTATGTGTTGCCCATGTGCAATCATAAGTTGTGCTCATGGAACGTGGTAAGAAATGCACATAATAACTTAAATGATAAAGAATTGGTACGATCATTTCAAGTATATCTTTGGGAACCAATTACAATCAATAAGTTTGAAAAGAAATTAGAGTTTTTGAAGGACAAAGTTACTACACACAAACAAAAGGATGGCTGCAAATGATGTATGCACAACAAGATGCGTAGGCGAAATCACTCCTTACACCCAAGTTTTTTCGGTGGTATGTGTACTACTCAATGCGTAAGTGTATGAACAAGTTTGTGAAATATTACTTGAGAAAAGGCGTTAAGTCGTTTGAATGCATACCACCGAAAACAGTCAAAGAAAGTGCTTACAACCACACTGAAAATTCTTGAGCAACATGCTTCCCAAATTTACATACATAGGTTCTTTATATTAGTATGTAACGAGATCAATGTTTCGTCAGCACACATTCATGAAAAAATATTCTATAATTTCATAGGACAGTTGTATATTTAGTGAAATATGGTGAACCGCAAAATAATTGCAGTTGTGCATATCTTGGCCGAAAAGATGTTCGAATATAGCGCAACTATCAGAAATATGAAAGCGAATGCATCCCATATTGCAATTTGTCTTATATGATGAAGTGGAAGCATGTTATGGAAATCCCCGTGTCACTCATAATGAAGTGATGGACAAAAACTGCCCGAATGGACATTAGATATGCATTTATATCATAAAGTGGAAGTAATGAGGTTGTACAAACCACGAGATACAAAAGTTTAATTTGTATATTGCCAACAAAGTATGTTTGTATACATCAAAGAGCACATATGGGTATAGTATTATTCATAAAATTTTCTTATAAATAAATTAATATTCAAAAGGCATACGCCTTACTACTTCAAGGCTTATGCCTCGCATAACGCGACTAAAATGCCTCGCATCAACGCCTTGCCTGTCAAAGCATTGACCCAAACTCCTTTCTTCCCCATGAAACTAACAAAGCATAATCTTTATGAAAAAAGTCCATCATTCATCTCAAGCTAAGGAACAATTCATCAAGCTTAAAGTCCATTACAAATCATCAAAACTTCAATTTAATTGAATACAGAACAACTCTACATGCCTAACTGTGAAAATCAAATTTTCAAAAAAGCAATGTCATTTCAAGAACTAACCCATTAACTTCAATCCAATATCCAACTCGATTTCAAGCAAACAGCTGACTACCCAATTCCCATAATTTTGAACCCAAGTTCTTATACATTCAAATTCAATTTCAAGAAAACAATTCGCTGCTGCCAACTATGAATCCAATTTTAAGATCCCAACTAACATCGAGAAACTTTGAAATTTTATTTTCTTTGTGGTTTCATTGAACTTTCTCGGCCACCAAACAGAAAGCCAGCAATAATTTAAGTAGATGAGAGATGGGAAAAACAAAAACACAATAGAAATTCGGTTCATGGGTACCTGCTTTCCCTCCTTCAGTATGTGATCGTCTTCGACACAACCCAATTAGTTGATAGGCTTTTCATTCATTTCGTTTATTTACTTATTCATTTATTTTATAAACTTACTTTTATTATTTAATTTCAGCATTTTCAGTCGTCTAGAGCTATTCAAATCCAAAACAAACTCTCTTTTCAATATATTCTTTTTTTGGGTCAAATGTTGAAAATAATTTAAGAAACGAGAAATCTAAGAAAGGATAAACCACGTCAGCATGAGTAAATAAAGAAAGAATTATTGTAAATGCATGAGTTGGTGGATGACCACCATACCTCTTAGGATTCACCATTTCTAATTCTAGGTAACATATACACTAAATACCATAGTTATGGGCTTGAAACTTATGAGTTGTTAATGTCTTACCATTGTAAGCCTATAAATAAGAGGTCTTATCAACATGAGATATACAAGTTGATTTACATAAATTCTATTATCTTTCTCTACTTTCTAATTCTCTCTACAATTTTCCCTTAGTTATATAATACGTTATCAGCACGACATTGCTCTTGGTATTTTTTTTTCTCTAAATTTTCTTTCTTCTTATATGAGCTAGAGTCATCACATGGTATAGAGTTTCTTTGTACTCACCATCAAACTTCATTATGCTCGTTTAAGAAGAAAAAAAAAAAGATTCTTATTCTTATTACACATAAATATAATGCCATGTTTTTTATTATTTGTTTGTTTATTTAATTTTATGCATGATCTTAATTATTATAATGAGTTTGTATTATACAAAAGATCAGGGCTCGAAGTTCCTTTATCCTCGTCTTATAACTTGATTAGGACATAGAGTCCATCTTAATTATTATAATGAGTTTGTATTATACAAAAGATTAGGGCTCGAAGTTCCTCGATCTTCATCATATAACTTGATTAGGACCTAGAGTCTTTTTGATTGAATCAAAACCTGAAGTTATTTGATTCCAAATAATTGAGGGTGTGAAGTTTCGTGAATTTAAAGAGCACATAAGGACATGAAACTCCTTGATTTTGTATTAATCAAAATTAGAATTCCATAAGGCCTACTATGTCAAGAACCGGAACTAGAAGTTTCGAGTGCATATACATCAATTTGAATATGAAGTTCAAAGCACAACTATTAATTCAATTTATTTAGATCTACGTATTCGAACCTAAAGTTTC